GGGTTCAGTCCATGGTCGGCTGCTCCAGTGGTCTCAGGGGGTTCAGTCCATGGTCGGCTGCTCCAGTGGTCTCAGAGGGTTCAGTCCATAGTTGGCTGCTCCAATGGTCTCAGGGGACTCAGTCCATGGTCGGCTGCTCCAAGGGTCTCAGAGGGTTCAGTCCATGGTCGGCTGCTCCAATGGAGCAGCTTAAACTAGACACACAAAGGTGCAAGAGGCCTCCTGCTTAGAGGCCCGATGCCACATACGCAGGAGCAAAGAGCTCAAAAGTGCAAAGTGTGGTTCATTTTCCAAATCCGGATTTCAGTCCCAGCTAGCAAGTCACCAACAAACACTGTGGAGCTTTCTCTCTGGGGCGTGGTGCAGGTGGTCTGCATAAACAGCCACAATGATGAGCTTTAGCAGGCAGAGGAATCTGTGTGTCCACCCGCTGTCTCTTCCCTCAGGTTGTCCTTGGCCCTGGTCCTTGGCTAGGGCGGAAGTGAGACCACCGTCTGGAAACTGCAGCCTACAGAAGTCACTCACTGCTCAGCTCCTTGCTGGACCCTTCCTGGCTGCCGTATGGGTGGAGCTCAGCTCTCCTGATAACGGTGGGAAGCTCGGCTTCCCTGGTAGGGGAGCACGTGCAGATTTGGCCAAATGATGCCCTGAAGTCTGTGGAAGGGAGGAGCTTGCTTCTTGCTTCAGAGCTCAGCACTGAAAGGAAAAGAAGGGCTTAGAACCTGCAGGCAACACGGGGCCTCCAAGGGCTCCTGGGAGACCCTCCTGCCTCTGCCTCCTCAGGGGCTCCAGGCGGCCCTGGGCTGCGGACTCATGGCTGCAGTCTCCACCTCTGTCTCCACGCGGCTTCTCCTCTGTGCCTGTGTCCTCCTCTGTCTCTCGTGAGGACGCTGCCCTTGGATCCAGGGTCCACGATGGCCTTGTCTTTATGAACCTCCTTTCCAAATGAGTTCATCCCGAGATTCTGGGCGGCCGTGGATTTTAGGAGCTTGCTCTTCGGCCAGACTCAGCCTGACCCTCCCCATGTGGCCAACAGTATTCAAAGGGCTACAGGTCCAGTGGCCTCTGCTCAAACTCCTAAACGTCCTCCGGCTCGGAGTGAGGATGCAGGCTCGGAAAGGAAGCCGACGGACCATGCACAGAAAACCCTGCCCAGAAAAGGCTCTGCCAGGCCTCGTGAGCAGCCCTGGCCACCTCTCTAAATTACAAGGCAGAAGCGGAAATTTCCTCAAAGCCAAGTTCTATCCTTAACCCCTGTGGGGCCAGGAAAATTCTACTCTTGAAAACTGATGACTACTCTGTTTTTTAAAAAGCATTTATGTTTTTGGTCCTGATTTATAGAATGTTGCTACTTTCTGAAAAATGTCAAATTAAAACCATTTTGCTGAAAGCTTTCTCCACAGCTTCTTCTTCTTCTTTTTTTTTTTGGCATCAATGGAGTAAGAATAAAGCAACGTGTGCATAAATAAAACGTTAGCGGAGCAGATGCTACCGTCCTAAGCATCCTGCAAAACAGACAATAACAACATACGCACAAAGATGACTTCAGGGGATGATTTTCTTCACACGAACTTGCAACATTTCCACAGTATTTTTTAAAACGAGTTAGAGTTCTCACATAAAAATGTGGAACTTTGTCCTTGTCAGAATTTCCTGTTGGTACAAATCACATTTTTCTCACCTAGCTGTGCTGGCCCGATGTGTAAATCAGTGTAAGAAAATAGGCTTTTTTGTCTCGGTTTTTATGACAGCGTTGGAGATATTTTTTATATCTGAAATACTGGCATTTTTTCTCCACCAAAGAGAATGCAGGGAGGGAAGGAAAAACAGTGGAGAAAGGAAGGAAAAGAAAATAAAAGATGGAAAATGAAACTCGTCCGGACATTTTTCCCTTGGGACTGTCATGGTTTCCGGTTTAAATGCCATGGGAGGGAAATGAGAACTGGAAAATGTGTCAGCTTCGGAGGTACCAGCTGCAAGAGCAAGACCCACACGCATCTGCCTCTGACCTGACAGCTGGGGCTGCTTTGGAAACGCGAAGATGCCTCTTCCAGACAACTGTAAAGTGGACGGAGACAGCAGTTCCATAGTGAGAAAGCAGCACAGGACCCCGAGGCCCGCTCCCGGGCTTTTCCCTGGAACAGTGTCATGGCCCAGGGAAATCGCATCCAGTCGGCATCATGCTGCACTCACGTGTGAGTGTGAGCAAACGTGCATTGTTGGGGGAGTGATCAGCGGAATGAGCAGCAGCATGAGGGTGAAGAGGAGAAAATGGGTAGATGGATACACATTTATGTACATCCACACACACACACACACACACACGCACGCACGCGGGTCCATGATGGACAGAGGAACACAAAGAACACAGGGATGACTGCCACATGAACAGATGGTACACAGATTAAAAGTTGATGATTTGTACATAGCTACAGACAGATAAGATAGATGGATCCATAGAGACATAGATAGATACAATGATGACAGATGGATACACAGATGATGGATGGATAGATACACAGATACAGTGATGGAGGGATAGACGGATATACAGATAGGTAGATGAATAGAGGTAGATAATAGATAAATATAGAGACACATAAATAATACATGGGTACCTAAGCAGATAGATAAGAGAGACACACACGCTGGATGTAGATGACACTCAGTTACAGTCAGAAACACAGGCGGACATAAACACAGACGGATGTAAGTACACAGATGCATAGATACGTACATGGGTAGACAGGTAATAAGTAGACTTGTACACGCACGTATGGGTAGATGACAGAGACAGATGATCGATACATAGGTGATAGATGAGAACAGATGCAATAAAAGACTGGATGGATACATAGATACACAGTTCTGCTACCAACACTCCTTCATCTTCCTTGTTCCCCACATTTCTCTTCTGTGCCATCTCTAGGTTTCTGTGAATCTTATTTAATTTCTCCCCAACATTGTCACAAGACAGATAAAACTCTTATTAATGATGAATGATGAAAAAAGAAAACTCCATGTATCTTTAGTAGGGATGACCTAGAAGTCAAACGTCAGTGGATTGACAAAGGGAGGCCAGCAACGGGTCATAGATGGTGACTGCACAGCAAGGTTCGGGGGACAGGGAAAATCCCAGACACAGGGGGCAGCGTTCAGATTTTGCACAGTCAAAAATGAGCAATGAACTTTGTCATGATTCACGAGACCTGCTGTGAAAAAATGGTGTAAGCTACATAACTGACACACGGAGACCTTGGTGCCTCCTATTACTGGGGGCTGAGGTCCACTGCACTGGTCTCTCCCTGTCTCAGTCCATCGGGGGCGCCATATGCAATCCTAGAGCCTGGGCGGCTAACACACAGCAGAACTTGGTGCCCAGTCCTGAGGCTGAGGTTCAAGGTCCAGCCGTGGCAGAGCCTGTGTCTGGTGAGGCTGCTTCTAGGGTCACAGGTGGCGCCTTCTAGCTATGTCCTCACCTGGTGGAAGGCAGGGAGCTCTCTGGGGTCTCTGATCCCATCCATGAGGCTCCACCCTCAGGACTAATCACCTAACACTGCTTCCCTGGGGGTTGGAGATGAATACATACATTTTAGGGAGACAAATACTCAGAGTTGACTTTATGTGTTAGCTCGTGATGGCCCTAAAGTCATCATGATTTTTTATGGGATTAGTGTTCTCCCACTGAAGAAACCCCTTCCATTTCTTTGGTCTTCGCTGTATAATCTGTTTTCCAAAATTGCATTTCAAATGGGAGTTTTGCCGTCTGATCATTTTATGTTTTCTGCAGCCAGGTGGCCAGGAAACATTTGTTAATAATCACACATGGAGAAAATCACCACTGGCGTCCTCTTTTTCGTATGCCTTTGAAATCCCTTTTCCTCCCTCAATGCTCTCTCTGCTGAAGCCATCTGGAAGCTTCACACACATCTGTGGAAGTTCAAAAAATTCAAACCGACGGATGCTTCTAAAAGTTGGGAAAAGCAAAACCGACTCACCCTGGAGGTGTACGTGTGAACCAACGAATGCACTCAACTTCCTTTCCCAAAGACACCCTGGGTTCCTAAGTCTCACAGTCATGGGCAGATGAGTCAGGCAGCATCTGGGCCACATCTGGGCTCAGCAGTTACACAACCGTCATGTGCCCTCCAAGGAGCGTG